TGCGGCCCGTCAATGTACGCTTATGGTCAATGGTGGTGGTCCATTGCCTTCTTCCGGGCTTTGGGGCCGTCATGCCGTGTTTTGGGAGAGGCGTGTAGTTGCGCGGGTCGGTGCGCCAACGTGCGTTCCGTGGTTGGTACGGACGCTTCTTTTTTTCCTTAGCTGGTTTCTTCGCTGGGTAGAGCGGGGGTTAGCTTGTCCTGCCTTTTTATCTCGATCGTGGGAGTTGTGGCCTCCATTTCTTGCGGATTAGGCTTAGCTTGGCCGGGCAATTAAGAATGGCTCTACGGGGGTGTCCGGAGCTCTTGGGATGGGCTCAACGGAGGTGTCCGGAGCTGGCTCCACGGCGTTATCCAGAGCTCTACCAGGTGCCTCTACGCGAGTGTGCGGACTGAGATGTTGTGGAGCGACGGGGCTGGTGGTGCCGTGGTTGTCGTCTTCCTGATCTCGTCCAAGGCGATCTTCGAGGTGCCTGGGATCGTCTTGCAGTGGGGTGTTGTTCGGGTCCATAACCTGTGGTGCAAGATCGATGCCGTCCGTTTACTGATGCCTATCGAGTCTCTACCTTATAAGGGAATGGGAGGGATCAGTGAGACGGCGGTGAATAAAGATGATCTAATTGCGCTGTCATGCGTGTGCCACGTGTGTACGTATGGCTCTCATGACAGGCAACAAGCAGCGGCCTGCCAAGTTTCTGCCATCCGACAACCTCCTTCCACCTGCACCCTCTCCGCGAGCGCCCTCGTCCGCCGCACCAGCCGCTCGTTCTCGCGCTCCACGCCGCGCATCCACGCCGTCTTCCGCGCCTCCCGCATCACACCACCTTCCTCCTCTCGCGGCTCCGCCTCGCGCTCGCCCGGTTCCGACCTTCCTCCTCTCGCGGCTTCGCCTCACGCTCGCCCGGTTCCGAGCAGCGCTCACCCTCCGCACCGACACGCACGCCGCCTCCGCCGCCCCTTCGCCTTCGCCCACCTGGCCCGCCGTCGCCAGCGCCGCCGCCGGCCCAGCCCGTGTCCCACCATCAGAGCCTTCCCCGCCGCCCTCGCCCACCGCGCCGCAACGCACCGCCAGCGCCTCCATTGCTGCTAACAGAAGCTCGAACTCCTGCGAGAACGGATACATCGTGCCTAGCCGCCGCGCCGCCGCCGCACCACCGCCGCGTATCGCCACCAGCGACAGCAGCACCCCTAGCTCCTCGAGCGCGCCTCCGCCCTCCATCCTGCCGCTGCTGCTGCCGCTCATCTTGGCGCGCTGCCGGTGCGGGGAGGACACACGGCACGTCGAGATTAGGGCGTGCGCAAAGGAGGCGGCAGCGCACACCTAGACGGGCGGGCTTAGGATGGGCGGCGCAGGCGTCGGCGGGGATGCACGCATTGCTGCGCACGGGCGGGAAGCAAGGCGGCGAAACGCAATGCGGCGTGGTGCTTCCGCCGCGAGTCGCGCGTGGTTTGAACGGAAAGCGTTTGTGGGCGGAGATGCTATGATCCGTGAGCACGGGTAACATGCAGCGGGTAACAGCTCATACGCCCCATACAACGGGCCACTGCCAAAAATTAAAAATGCGCGAATGTACAAATTATTAGTTTGACATTCATGAATCTACACATTATTTAAAACAATTTTTAACACATTATTTTAAAACATATTGTTTAACAATATTTTCTTGAAGAATTGAACTCGCGACCAAAAGAAAAGGGTAGCAGGGGAGTGGTACCGAAGCACACCACCCCTGCTGAAACCCCTTCTCCATCGCCCCGCCTTTGCGTGCGCACGACTACCGACCTTTCTGGCGGTGGCCAGAAGTAAATTTCCAACCAATTTATACCCGACGATCTCGTGCTACAGTACCGCCCCCCCAAAAAATAAAACGGATCCACACACACACACACATGGCGACGGCGAAGTCGTCATCCCCTCACCCGCCGCTCGTTCCCGCGCTCCACTCCGTCTTCCGCGCCTCCCGCACCTTCTTCCTCTCGCGGCTCCGCCTCGCGCTCACCTGGTTCCGCGCTCGCCACGCGCGCCGCCTTCGCCGCCGCCTCACACACACACACACATAACGAAGAATAAGACAACGTCATTTTCATCTGCAGGCGAAAGTGGTCGCACCATGCGCGTTCGGCGCAAGCAACTCAAGCGCGACCAGCGGCAACGGAGGCCCTCCACTGCCCCCGCACGCGTGCCCAACCCCGCTTTCTCGCCCCTTCCCACCCCGCCTGGTCCTTCTTTCTTCTCCGCTCGTCTCCCTGCACCGCGCGCAAAATTCAATTCTCAGTCCTCTGAGATCCAGCTACCAGAAGCTCTAATCTCTTTCATGCTTCTGGCCAACTCGAATGTGGGCGCGTGCGCGCACGCGGCGAATGCGCACGCGGCAGCGGGCGCGCGCCCGCTCCACCGTCGCCGCTGCCATCCCCCGCCCTCTCCGCTACCTCTCCTGTCTTCGTCGCCCCTTGCCCCCTCGTCCTGCCCGGTGTACCAGCCCGCCCCTCCGTGCCCTGCGACTTATTGAAAGCGTGAAATGGGAAGCTTCTGTGGAAGGAAGCTCAAGCTGCTTTTCCAAGATGTAGTATCTACGCAATACCCTCGAAAAACTTATGTCCAGAATGGTGGTCCGTATGGGCTGTCACATGGAGCCCTTTGACTGCGTAGAGGGGTGTATTTGTGAGAGTTTTTCACGCCAGGAGGGTCGACAAGTGAGGGCCAGATATCAACGAGAACAGCAAAACGCCGAGTACCCCCAACCTCTGTTTGTGAACTCTATTCTACATGAGTGAAAACGCGTTGACAATGAGTCAAATCCGTGAGTGGCTGTGAACGTAGGCCTCCCGGTCGCTTTGCCCACAAGTTCATGTCTCTGTTTCAGGCCAGTAGGCTTCAAGACTGAGGAAAAGAAAATTGAACCATTTTGCCGCACGAGTGACGTTTATCCTCTCACTAATGACAATCGCCACGGGCTTCTAGCTAGAGTGGTGACACACCTTGAACAAATTGCGCTGTAGTGAGACCTCGCCGCCTTCCTTTCCCTTGCCGTGCGGCTCGTCCCGCTCCTTCCCGCCTTGCTTCCCCCTTCCGCGCCTGCGCGCCTCTTCCTCACCAAGCTCGCAATGCCCTGCGCAAACCCGATGCGCTCCCCGCAGCCTCCACACTCAGTAAGAATCCCAACGCTGCTAGGGCATCTTATGAATCTCCCCTGCAATGAAGGCGGGGCTGCCGACGACCCACCTCCCTCACCCATCGCGTCCTCTGACCGTCCAACTTTCCCGTCTCCATCCGCCCAAAGACACGACTCAGATGCCGAAACGAGGCCTCCCCCCTCACCCGCTGACGTCCTAAGCTGCCAACCGGCCTCCCAGACACTGATAGACTTCTCTGCTTCTTCCGCGCGCCCACTTTCCTTCTCCGCAGAGCTCACCGCCCTCGCGGCAGCTCTGATTCATCACAGTGCGCCGAGCCGACCAACTCAATCCTCCGTCGACAGTCTTCCGCGCTCGACCCTGTCCCCTAGCACGCAATAGCCACTTTACTGTATTAACGTATTGTAAAACTAAGTATCAAATGCAAGTAAAACCCAGCTTGTCGTATGGATTCTCATTAATCTTGTCGTCGATACCAAGATATTTGATCATCTCTTGAAGGTCTGTCCATCCAAACTGCATCATGATGTCCCGCAGGCCCCACCCAAGAACGTAGTGATGGTACTGGGCGCCTCCGCGACGGGCTGAATGCTCTGTTAGCCGACCTGCTGTTCCAATTCTATTGCTCATGTAGGACAGAGTCTCTCTATAAGTAGAATGGGACATGCGCACTCCTTCACGCAAAGCGCCGCCTTGAAATGCAGGAAACAGGGGACCCCTTCCAATCTTGTGCACCATTAACACAGCAAGCCACCGATGCAGGGAATGCAGAGGACATATAGACACATGTACGCCCCTGGAGAACTTGTAGTACCTTGTACCAGTACCCGTTTTTGTGAAGGGCAACACACCGAATATTGGTGAGTCGAGAGCAGAACCAGGGAAGACAAGGTCTTCTAAATCAAGGTTCAGAATCTCGTCCGCTCGCGCGACGCTTCCCCATTGCATAACGTTAAGCGTGCATGCTTCAAACGCCTTGAAGTCAAATAAATCTGCCTTAGTTGGTAGCACGCCTCTCAAAACACGAACGCTGACGTCCTTTATATACATATTGTACAAACTCTGGACGTCTTCGTGCGTCTCGGCGAGGGCACGCTCGGTGATATTGACCTTCGCTCTTGCTTGATCATTCTCTAGACGCTTGACGACCTTCTTTAGCTGTGCAGCGCGGCCAGGGTTGCCTCGAAAGCGTCCCTCGCCGAGCTCAACGTAGTCGCCCTGTACATGACGGCACTCGAATCCCGGGCCGCACTCAGCGCAGTCAAGAAGGTTGAACGCTGCTGTCACGGCGCTAATTATAGCGCCGCCAGTAGACTTGGCCTTGTTGTTTCCAAATCTCTCGTCGACGACGAATCCACAGCGGCTCATTACGAACGCAATTGCCACGCCGACTGGCGACTGCTCTCTGCTCCTCTTTCTGACAGGTTGAAAAGGTCTGAGCGGGTCGTCGATCAGCGCCTCCACCTCCCGCATGGCATCGCGGAAGGCTTTGATCGTGGTTTTGTACCGCGCCATGGAAGAGTCAGCAAGCGGTTGACGGAGCTTCGCTTGTCCGGCGGCGAGTGCTGCGTCTAGCTCGGCCCTGTCGGGCTGGTGACCCGATCGACCACGCCGGCCCCCGCAGGGTCCCCGAGTGCCACCGCCAGAGCTACCGCCGCGCATCGGATTTGGCGGAGCGGCGGGTTCTCCTGTGCGGGGGTCGAGGCCGATGGGATTGCCGACGGTGCGGGCGTCAGCGAGTGTGGCTCGCGGGACTAACGAATGGGCTGCAAGTCCTGTACCGGGAGTCGCGAGAGTGAGGACGGAATACGAGAGTACTGTATGGGGAGATCACATGCGGACTTGAGGGGAGACGTTGCTTTGTAATTAAAATTGGACCAAACAGATCATCATTGAATTGACCAGAGTGTCCATTACGTCATACTCACGCTCGTGTCCCCGGCGGACGGCAGCAACGACCTGGAGTACGCGCACCTCATGACACGCCTGGCCGTGGAGACCGTGACCGTGCGACAGGTCGAGGACGTCGTGCTGCACGTCGTGTACTCCGGCCTGGTCAGGGCTAGGATGGATCAGAGGGAGAGCCGCGTCCAGATTGTCAGCGCCGTCTGGAGAGATGTGCTGCCGCCGGGGGGGATCGCCAATATGATCGCCGTGCTCAAGGGCTGGGCGCCGCGGTCGACGGAGCTGGTGGATGAGATCGATGATAAGATTCATTACATTGCGAGTCGTACGGCGCGTGTGAAGAAGATCAAGACGGAGGCGAGCCGCAGGGGCCGCCGCATGCCGAACATGGGCATTATCCGCTGAGCCGCGTGCGAGAAGAGGGCGTCTTGTTGGTTTCATTTTATTCGCAGTCAAACTCGATTTCGTTGCCGAGCAGGACGTGCGCCGCGAACACCCCGATCGACCCCCACACAAAGTACTGGTACCATCTTGTCCGTTTGTCCTCGGCTTTGCTTTGACGAGTCGCGCGCGCCCGACTCGTCAGGCGCGGTGTCCCGCGCCTCGTCCTCGACATGTTTTCGCCGCGCCTCGAGCACACTGTCGCCGCCCAGCTCGCCGACGAGGCGCTCGCCGTCGCGCCAGAAGTACTTCTGCTGCACGCGGCTGACAAACGAGACAACGTTTGTGGCCACCTGCGTGCTGCAGCGGGATGTACAGCAGTGGCGCGAGGAAGCCAAACGCGATCGCGTCCAGCACGGACGGCTCGTCCTGGAAAAAGAAGCGGCTGCGGTTGCCGAGCCGCGTCGACAGCGCGCCGAGCGCGATGCCCGCGGCCAGCTGCGCGCACAGCCGCCGCCGCTGGAGAAACAGCAGCACGCGGTTGAGCGGGAACGCTGTCTCCTTGGAGAGCAGCGTGTGGTAAATTTCGGCGTAGTCCTTGTCGTTGAGGTAGAGCTCGTGCGACAACGCGGCCCCGAAGCGGGCCGTGATGAGCGTGGCGAACGCGCTCGATTCGGCGATCATGAACGGGGTCAGGTGCGCGTTCGCGTCCGGCAGGGCCAGGTCGGCTGTGAGAGCGCGGCGACGGCGACGCACCGGGATACACGCAGAACGGGATGTCCGCGAAGCGCAGCAGCGCGATCGCCTCGAGGGAGTCCGGGTCGATCGTCGGCAGGCCCTACCCGCCGGCCGGCGTGTAGATGCGCGCCGTGACGCGCGAGGGGCCGGGAGCGGCGGGGAGGGGACTGGGAGATGAAGAGAAGAAGGGAAAGTGAGTTGTGGTGCGGAACGAGTGGTGTGACGGTGGTGATGCGGCGGTGTGGCGGTGTTGTGCGTTGTGTAAATTACGGGAAATCTCGCTTCCATCCTCCATGTCAACTCCATTACCCACAAGTGACCACCATCGCACTTTGATCACCGACCCCCCCCCGGATTCCTCCCTCCGTCCCTCCCCTCCCGCTTCCTCTGTACCTCACCTTACCAAC